GACTCAAGGGTAGTAAGGTCTTGAGGCAGCGCTGGATGAGAAGCATTGAGGGATTGTTAATGTCTCACCTAGTGTAGCGTGTGTGAGTGGGCAGTGAGAACCACAACTGCCTTTTATTGATTTGAAGAGTTGTCATGGGGAAGAGGAGACGCATTCCACATCCTTTAAAAGGTAAAACTGAAACTGAACTTCTGTTTTATATAAAAAGAGATTCCCCAACAGGCACAGACAATGGAACAGGCTGCCTTGGATAGAACCACACTTCCCCTCAGAGGAGTCTTCATTCGAGACTGCCTGCTGCCAGTTTTAAGAACATTGTAGATTATCCTGCACTGGGTATGAAATTTGACAGTAAAGGTCCCTTTTGAAGGTTCCAGACAGTCTCCAAGGAACTTGCACTAACAACATCTTCAGGAGATAACCTGTTCTGGGATATCCTGTGGTTTCCAAAGTCTCTGTGCCAACTCTCAGTGTTTCCCACAAGGATGACTCTTCAGCTGGCTGCAAGGGGGAGGTGCAAAGGACGTCTGGGAGAAAGGGAGCCATGTGCTAAGTCACAGAATCTGTGATCTGCGTATTTTATTCAATATCTAGTTTGGGGGGAGAGGAAGGCAGCTGATAGAGATAGACAGAGCCCTTACCTCAATATTTCCCTTATCAAATCATATAAGTTTAATGGAACTTTTAGTCCAGAATACTTGATGGAAAGATAAAGCCAAGTGATTACCCACATCTTATTGGCTTTCAGGGATCAGTACTGGTGAGAAGGAGGAAAGGCTACCTTTACCATCTGGGCTCATTATGAAGGCCAGGCCCAGTGAGGCACCAGGGAAGGAAGGCCCAAAGTTGGCTGAGTGAGGGCTGGAGGAGTCCAGGTGCTGGGGAACTGAGGGGGGGAGGGGCTATGGTGGAGAGTTTTGCCCACTCTGCAGTTTAGCCTAAGGCCTTGGTGCATCTCTGAGAACTTTCTCTGGGCTGAGGACATTGTTTGCCAATAGCCAAAATAGAATGTCAGGACTTGTTTATAAGCTGCAAACAGCTCGCTGCAGATTAGCCCAGTCCTCCCAGTCTAGACCAGTCTGGTCTCCTCAGGTTCAAGGCTAGGTCTCCTCATTCCCTTCTCTGGTAGAAAGAAGGGGGAAGGAAAAGAAGGACTCTCTTTGAGCTAAATATCTTTCTGTGAGGAAAGAGTATATCAGCTGTCCATTCTCATGTGAGTCCAGTTACCTCTCATCCCAAATTTATCACTTCCACATCCAATATGATTCCAACACGACTCCACAAGTTCTCTGTCAGGGGCCAGTTCGTAAATACCCAAAAACCTAATGAAGAGTACAGGGCAATGCAGAAACCTGAGAATGAAACAGGCCGGGCACTAGAAGCAGGTGGGAGTGGGCTGGGAGAGGGGAATTATGGTGCAGTCAGGGAAGGCTTCACGGAGGAGCAAGAAATAAACCTGAGTCTTAAAGAATGAGCAGGACTCAATTACACAAAGAAAAAGCAAGGGAATTTCAAGTTTGAGGGACTATGCAGAGAAAAGGAGGAATATGAAAGCATCTGTTGAGAGCCAATGTGTGGAAGAGTCAGACTGAATGAATTTATTGGGGAAAGTGAATACTATGTACAGCAACCTCTTACAATCTGCAGACTCCAGGTGCCATTCCAACTCCATCATCCATGGTTGGTTGTGAGCCTCCAGATAGGAATGACCATTCCACAGTTGAGGCTCATAGATTAGGGAATGCAGAGATAAGGTTTACCTGCAAAGAATGTGGCTAAACCTCTTATGAAATTTTCAGATCAGATGGAGAAAAGTTTTCTGGAGAAAAGCATGATTAAATAAATTATAGCTGGTTCAATCACTGGACCAAAATTGTTCTCATCTCTTTTCTCCAAATCTGCCACTTCTCATGTTTTCCCCCATCTCTATGATGGGCCATTCATCCCGTGAAAGTAGTAGTGGGTTCTTAAAAATAATCATCTCTATGCAGGGTGAGCTGGCTCACACCTGTAATCCTAGCACTCTGGGAGGCTGGGGTGGGAGGATCACTTGAGCCCAGGATTTGGAGGTTGCAGTGAGTTACGATGATGTCATTGCACTCTAGCCTGGATGAAAGAGTGAAATTCTGTCTCCAAAAATAAATAAATACATAAATCACTTGACACCCAGATCTGAGTATCCCTGGAGTTTCCCAGGGGATAAGTTGTCTCAAAAGAGGTACTTATTAGTCTTAAACGCAATCAACTTTCTCCAGGACCTAATTGTAGAACATTAAAAAACCCTGGTTATAAACGTTTCACATGGTACTTGGGACCCTTCTATTTTCCACTTCTAGAGTAATGACACCCTTTATTCAGATTGACATCTGGGTATTGAAATTAAATATTAACTTAAATAAAATAATGTTTCCATTTAGACCAACTCATGAGAATGAGAAATTCAAATCCCAATGCCCCACATAATGTTTTTACCATTGAAAAATATGAGTTATGCTGTGTTTTCCCCATGAATACTCACTGACTAGCAAATTACAGTGGCTGATCTACACCTCACAATCTATGTAAAATATATGCAAATGAGAAGACCACAGTGAAAAAAATAGAGAAGAGAGGATTGATCATAGCATGGAAGGAAGGCTGGGAAATGTCTTTTGCAATTAATCAAGACAAATAGAAATATCCCATTGTTTTAAAAAATTGCACTGGATCTACTGAGAAATAAATAAAAATTAAAAGGAATATGTAATCTAAAGAACGACTTGGAGATGTGGAACATCATAGATCAAAAAATACCAAACCAGCAGAGTCCAGCACACAAATTATAAAATGCCCAAGCATCCTTTCCCTGGCATTACTTTGAAAGGTTGAGAATTCCCTTCCTGGCAGGTCTTGAAGAATAAGGACCCAGCAGCAGTATGACCTGGAAGTGGCATGAGGGAGATTTAAGTACTCTTGAAATCCCTTCTCTCCCCAGAATCTTGAGAGTTCTGGTCGAATTAATGAGATCAGAAGTTCTCACAAATCACAGGCATGTATGAACTGTAGTTGATCAAGAGAATCTTCACTTCTAAAAGACCGATGCTTCTGGAGTAAGATGTTGCCCCAGAGCTGTAATCTGCCAGTCTGAGGGGATTGGTTGTCCAGAGCCTATCTGACCTTTTGAGCAGAAATTTCTTCCAAAGGGAAAAACATTCCCACCTTTTATTTGGAAGTTTGATTTTTCCCCCCTGTTCTTAAAGCTGTTGTAACAATTCTTTCCTAAAGGAAAGTTGCTGTTGTTAGCATGGACTTTGAACTGACTTTCTCTCTCATCTTGATGGCAGAAAAAACTTGTTGCTGAGTTAATAAAAAGGGTGAACATGTTAAATAAGATAGAAAAGCACAAGAGAAGACCCCCTTGAGGTAGTAAGGAGACTAGAGGTTTGTCTTTGTTAGTCAGATGTTGATAGTGCCCAGGACCAGCTATTGTGTACAGGGTAGAATCACATGATGACAAGACAGCCACTTGTTTCAAGCCAAAGGATAGGAGTGAGTGCCCGTGATCAGACAAGATGGCAGGACACAGTTGAAAGGAGAGAGTTTCCATCACACTGCCCTCTCTTGGAGCTCTGCCTGAGTTCAAGGTTCTGTGGACCTTTCTCAATTTTTTACATACCAGTAGACTTGCTAGAAAATCAGAAAAAAGCTATATGTTAATCCAACCATAAGTCCAGATACTCTCAACATTTTTACATACTCACCAACCTCAATGGATAAGGAAGTCTACAGGCAGCACTTAAAGTATATAGAAAAAAAGGGGCATCTAATTAAAATGACTTGAAAATCCCCTAAATTGACCTTAAAGAACATGGTGTGAAACCAAAATATGCCACCACAAAATATGAAGGATTGTTGAACTGAAGGTAACTAAGAGAAGGTCTCTGCCCTCCCTCTATAAACCTAAAAGCAGGACACAGATCTACAAAAGCAATAGGTATCCCATGCCGCCCCCTCCCCACCCTCCACTTCTGCCAGGGAGAACACAGATTAACCACTGCAGACAACTCTGGACCCTTATCAGCCTAGAGATGGTGCAGAGGAATCTACATTAATAAGCTTTACTAACTGGCCTTTACCTGCCAGTTATTTGCCTTCCTCTAAGTTGCCACCCCTGGAGACTTAAAGTCTTTTTCTTGTGTCTCATCACTTCTCTAAAATTTTACTATTCTCTATTGATGCTATATAAGCTGAAATTCAAAGCCACCTCTTTGAGAACTACTCATTCCCTGGGTGTCTGCCATGTGTACCTGAAATATATACGTTAATAAACTTTTGTTTGTTTTCCCCTTGTTAATTTGTCTTTTGTTACAGGAGTCTGTTCCAACTAAGAATCTATGAAAGTTAAAGAAACAACTATTTTTCTTCCTCTACACCATCTTTCAACAAAAGCAACAAAGTTTAATGGGTATTTTCCTTCAGTTGAGTAGGAGATAAAGTGGTGAACTTTTATGTAAAGGACCTTGTTTTTAAAAAGCAAGTTCTTATTGTTTCTTTAAACTCAAATTCACTCTTATTATGAAATAAATCTGGGAACCAAGACCAAAAGGGACCAGGGGAAAAGTAGATTCACATCTTTCAACTCAGCTCACCTAACACTACTGCTCATTGAGTTGAAAGATGGGCAAATCATCCTCACTATTTAAATGGCTCTCTTGCATGCATGCTCTTGCTCTCTCTCTCTCTCTCTCTCTCTCTCTCTCTCTTTTTCTGCCATTGAATTCATGTCAATTAAACACCCACAGGATTTGACTCCATGGTTCACGGACATATCCTTTCCAAGTCACCCAAGAACCTAAGTGAGAGCTAAAATAAAAGCTAAAGTCCAACACACAGGGCTTCAGCCTCAAGACAAATGGGCCTCTGAGAAGTGCCTCACTTTTGGCTGCTGTCTTTGTCAACGTGTGCCCTAGATTCCAGCCCTAAATTATCACACTTTTCCCATTTGTGATCCCCCCTCCTACCTTTGAGTGTTCTTTACACAATTCTTGGATGAAGCTTTTGGTTCAGAAGACCTTGAAAAAGAAAGAAATACAGATTTATGGCAAAGGGACCTGGAAAATCTCAAACAGACACATCTTTATTGCAACCGTCTGAATCCGTGGGAGAGAGAACAGGGCCCAGAAGGATCAGCTCTGAATTTGCTCCAACTCTCGACTTCCAGTCACTCCCTTCTTTCCAAGCTCCCCACTCGGGCCAACATTTTAATCTTTCAATCTCTCTCCCTCCCTCATCATCCCCTGTTTATTCACCTTTTCCATTCCCTCGTCTCATTTTCTCATTCTTTCTGATTGCCCCGCTCTCTCACACTCATATCCCCTCGCGTATCATCTTTCCGTTGGAGCCTGCGCTGATGGCCTCTTTCCAAGAGCAGCAGGTTTGAATCAGCTCCAGTCTAAAATGAAGGCAGGAGGTGGGGGTGGAGCGAGGCCAGGAGGGGATATCAGCTCTCTGGTGCCCAGTGGACTGTAAGCACAGCCTCCCGCCAGCCTCTGAGCTGGCTCTCTGCTGACTCTCTCTCTCTTTCAGTCGCTCCCTCTCTGTCTGGACATCCCTCCACACACAGGTATGTACAAGAGGAGATCTAATAATCCCCTGCAAGCAAAACCAGAGACCCCCACCCCCAACCAGGCAGCTGGTTTCCATTAGATGTTCCAAGCCCTATTAATATTCTCTCTTCTCACTTATCTCTTATTATTTTCCCCCTCTTTCTCATGTTCCTGCCTCTGATTCCCTCCTGGGAGGAGGCCAAAATTAAGAAGAAAAGGCTTGCCAAGCTTTGCATTAACCATCCCATCATGCCCCAGGTCTCTGGCAGAGATGATGGCTTCTTGTTTGTCCAGTTTGCTGCTCCACACACGGAAGGTGAAATCCTCCCAGGAGGGCAGAAGGGTTGAGCTCAGCCTGAGCTAGAGGCTGCGGCAAGGGTCAGCTCATCTACGTGCTCTTGACAGCATTCCTGGCTAAGCCTACTGAGTCCACTGTCAAGGTTGTCTTGTGCTCAGCACTTGATGGTGGAAAGTGGCTTGGGCACAGCTTTGGAGGGGCAACATTCTGGGGTTCAGGTCCCAAGCCCTTTGTTCACAAGGAACCTGACCTCGGGCAAGTTGCATAACCTTCCTCATTTGTAAAACTGTGCTGATAACACCTGCCTCAAAGGACTGTTAAGAGGATGAAAATAAGGCAACTAATGGAAAACATTTAGCTCAAGGTCTGCACATGGCAGATGCTGGTCCTCTTTTCTGGCCTTTCCTTGTAGTTTTTACTGTTGAAAAACCTGCCCTCCTCCACGGGCCTCCTATATCTTCCAAACAATTAACTGAGCAATTAGAGAAGATCTAACATCTGAATACCCAAGGCCTGAATTGGGGGGTATCCAGATGCCTGCTTCTTGTTCTTCCTTCTTCCAGACTATTTTAAGATAAAGAAAGAGGCACAGAAAAAGTGAATGTAAACTCCCTAAATTAGAACCATGCTTACATCTGTAAATGTGGATAATAATAGTACTGACTTACAGGGTTGTTGCAAAGACTGAATGAGCACTGTTTGATCAGTACCAGGACGGGTAAGGATGCAGTAAATGGTGGCCATCCTTCCCAATCGATACATCAGGCCTGGTTTCTTATAGTCTTTGTCCTTTGTCATGTCATGGCTATTCCCAAACTAACCCAGGAGCCTGGGTAATAATCCAGCTGGCATTTGCTCCTCTGACCTCTGCACATTCCTCGGAAGAAGTCCAGCAACTTTGGTGGCTCTGGGTAAATGCCAATCCTCACAGTGGAATAAACTCTGGAAGCTTCTTAACTGGCCTTCCCATCAGGGGATGAACCTTCAGGAGAACATGCATGAAGCAGTAGAGGTGCCTTTCCTAAGGCTTAGCCGTCCACACCCATCAACTCCATGGCCTCCCTGAGACCAGAACCTTCACCTGGGAGTGCAGCCCATGACAAGTGGCAGAGATGACCAGAACGGAGCCCAAAGTCTTCAAACTGTTTCAGGAAACTGTGGTGCTGAGTCCGCCCACTCCACCTGTGTCCTGGGCTGAGTGTGAATGGAGAGTACTGCCCTCCCAGCACAAAGGCAGCTATAGCGCAGAATCCCAAGCAATTAAGTCCACAGAACTGAATTCCTGTCCTCGGCACATAAACCAACCTAGACTAGTAGCACTTGGTAAGATGATTTTTGTTTTCTGTATTTTTTGTTAATTTCTTTGTGCTATAAGTCAGTCTTATCATATGCTGTAGCGTCAGCTGGAACTGGTTCTATTAGGTAGATAGGGAGGGATTCCAGGTCTCCTAGGGATGAAAGTGGGTGCTGTTGCCTTGGTGCAATTGCCCCACCTAGGAACAAGGACAAAGGTAGGCCCTAGACCCCCATCTTGGTCCTGCTATTCACTCTATCATTTTACTACAATTTAATTCCACTTCCTTTTATTGTATCCCTAGTGCAGTCAGAAAACAGCTGGTCACCATCATCCCTATATACAACTAACTACCTTCCCAAGACCTGAAAACAGTTAATAAATCATTCTTTAGCCTCTGAACTTCAGGTTAAGTAACATCAATTTCTTTAATCTTCCTCCCAAGATCCTATCTAAAAATCTCGAATAATTTTATTTTTGCCTTCTGGTCTTTCTAAAAATCAACACCTGAGGTTTTAGTGCCCAAACATGAATGTACTATTTTAACAAGAGCCTGACAAAAAATACCGATTGTTTATTCATCTAACTCATGCTCAGCTTGGGTGACCACTAGTCTCCTTTCCTTTTTTTTTTTTTTTTTGTACATAAATGTTAGATAATTCAAATATGCAATAGAGAAGAAAGGCCAGGGTTTGTTCCTTTAAGAAGGCATCCCTGCAGCTTACTTGTTAAACTTTGTCCCATTTGCTGGGGAAGGAGAAAAAGAAAGAGCCATCAAAAGGGACGCTGAAGGAAATGGTTAGAGTAAGGAGGAAAGCTCTTAAGAGACGTTTTCTGCCCTCTGAACCGTCCTTGCTCCACTGGGTTCTCCCATGGTGACAGTGCAGCTCATATAAGTCTGTGCTGCACTCAGCCCCTGCTGAGCGGGGCTGGGGCAGGACAGGAAATCACCACTCAGAAAATAAATGACCTGTCCCACAGTCTTTTGTTAATGAGTCCAGGGCATAATAAATCAAGGTGACCCAATCTCAAGAAACACAGCCTGTTTAAAAACAAAAAAAACTCCAAACCCCTAAGCCCCAGAGAAGAAGAGGAGGAGAAGGGAGAGGGGACAGCAGGGAGTCCTTATAAATCACACCCAAACGAAACTAGTACAGATGTTTCCAGTTTCAGACCCACTCAAGAGGCAGAGAATAGACGCATGTGGTCACAAATGAAAGCGGCTATCTGTTCTGAGGGAAGACAGGAGACGGCCAGCTTGGCAGGCAGACCCTCCTCTCACTCGGTGTCCTCAGTGTTTGGTGGCACCGTCTGCAAGTTCCTTTTTAATGTTCTTCAGGCTGTCACGGTTCACTCTACTTTTTCACCTCTTCCTGGGTCTCCCTCTTATCAGCATGGTGGGGGTGTCTGGAGCAGAGAAGAGGCCTCAATCCTCTTGGAGGAGAGGACCAAGTGCCTCTTGTCGTCAAATGTGGGTCCCAGCTTCCCACGGTACCAGGTAAATCATGGGAGGGTTGTAGCTTACCAAGCAAATTGCAAGCTCTCTGAAGATGAAATCTAACAATAAAATAGAAAGAATGTCAGGCTGGAAATAAATATTCCATTACATGGTAGATCTAGGGTGAGCTATGGTGTGAGACTCAGTTGTGTACAAAGGGCTTTACACAGAACCAAAATAGCCCGGTGAGGTAAGTGTACTGTCCCTGTCTTACAAATGAAGAAACGGTGGGGAAAAAAGAAGTTAAAGTATAACAATAGACATTTCTAATGCACTTTACAGTTTGTAAAAGGTTTTCACAAACATTATTTCATTTGCTCACTACCTGGATAGTAGGTTGCCTTTCCTTTGCCACAGATGAGGAAACCTGGGACAAAGGCTTTAAAAACATCTCTAGGCCACACAGCCCATGTGTGGAGGACTTAGGCCCATACTTAAGCTCTCGATTCTAAGACTGTTTGTTGTGTTTTCTATTTAACCACAGTTATTTGCAGGGTCCCATAATGAACAATGGGCTGATAGAGAAAGGACTCTGAAAAAGGAGGAAAAACTATGGCCAAAGTCTATTACTGTCTAGTGTTCAGTGGCAGCTGGGAGGTAGATGAGTGGACAAAAGGAAACTGTGACCCGAGACTTTGTACCATTGTTCCATGATATAAAACCCCTCATTCAGTCATTTCCTTCCCTCCTTATAAGCCTGGCCTCCTCTGCTCACTCTCTCCTATTTGCCATCATTTAAAAAGAAATGACATCATACCAACTGCTTTTTAAAAAATAATTACCTATGCTGAATTCAATCCCAGCCATTCACCACCACAAGTTTTTGTAGCACATTATCTTTTTCAAAAGTCTTTCATGTTTGTTACCTCCTCTGAATCTCTTAATCAGGATTGTAATTTACTCTAAAAGAAACTGAGACCAGAGTGACTTGCCCATGATCTCTCCACAAGTGAGAAGGTAGATCCAACCCTCTAGACTGGACTGTCTCCAAAACACCAGAAGGAACCAGATACCTGTTTCCATGTTGGTTTTCTTCATATTACCCAAGTACTGCAGCAAGACACATACCACCTTCTCCCACTAGGACTCTCCGTGGACTTCCTATACCAGCTCTGCTTCCTTTTGAAATAAAATAATGAGCTCTCATCTAAATAGGAATCCAAATGTTTGCCCATCTTCACAATGTCCTCAACCATAACAGGAAGATGCCATAGCAGGCTGCCTAAAATAAACCAAAATAAACCCATAGCTTTTAATTGGTCCAAGACCTAGATCGGCAGAATAGCAGGCACACCCATGAAAATTAGGACTGTTCTAAGTATTTTAAGTCAAACAACAGCCTTCTACCAGGACAGACCATGGCTTTAGGTTTCCTTTCCTTGGTTTTTGTTTGTTTTTTGGTTTTCGGTTTTGGTTTTTGCTTTATTTTGTGTTTTGGTTTTGCTCTGTAAGTCCACATCTTTTATACTCGAATGTTGACTCTTAACTGGATACCCAGAGGCAAGACTCCCAGGATGTGGGCATTCCAAGAAATGCTGGTATATCTGTTCTCTATTATGAAAGGCAGTCATTTATTCATCAAATATTCCTGAATTCCTACCAGTGACTGTGTTAGGTAGTGGAGAAGACTGAGACTTATGTTTTCTACTATACTTGCCACTAGCCAGCAAAGAGACCATGGGCAAGATCTTCCTCCCCCTATGGACATCAGTTCCTGCCT